AAGTTGTACTGCTAACCTCAAAGCTACGAGTCTCTAGTGGTTCGAATCCACCAGTAGATCCACAGGAGAAAGACGGACGGTCTCCTCCAACTGTGATTCACAGCCATGGAAACCTGACGGCGGTCACCGGGAATCAGAACCAACTCCATGTCTATCAGTGAGTGAGTGACCAGTATTTTATTATTATTAATACTTTTTATGTGTGTACCATCAAACCAGATCTGACTGGTACAGGAGGCGATTGTTCCTCCTTCTTCAGCAGAGAATCTGGTGGATTTGAACCATGTACCTCTGGGATTGCAGTGCAGCTTCTTGCCACTAGGCCACCAGAGCTCACTGTGACCAGTATTTTTAAAGAACACTGGTGGCACAGTGGTAAAAAGCTCAGTTGCAAACGAAACGTTGACTACTAGAACCCACCAGCTGGGAAAGGAAGAGGCAGTCTGCTATGGTGAGTATTGCAGCCTTGGAAACTCTATGGGACAATCATACTCTCTATCTTATAGGATCATAATCAGTCGAAATCGACTTTATGGCAATAGGATGGGTTTGGGTACTCTAATTTCTGGGGGAAATGTGTGTCTGAGAAAGAGATAACTATGATATAAACACACATAGCCAGGAGAGACTGGTCCTTGGAGAAGGACAGCATGCTTGGAGGGACAGCGAGGGAGAGGAAGACCTCAGAGGAGATGAACTGATACAGAAACTGGGGCAATGGGAGTTGGTGTGTCAGAGTCAGTGAGACTGGTTCAGGACAGGGCAGGCTTTAGAGCTGCAGTATGGTCCCTATGGGCTGCAGGTGACTCAATGGCACATAATAACAACAATGGGGGGGAGTGTGTGTGTGTGAGAGAGCAGAGAGAAGTAACTATGCTGTAACATACAGCTACAAATGGTTCCCTGATGTTTATGTAGATTAACAATTCACTATGTCTGGTGGTCTACACCTTTCCTATTATTGACAAATCAATGTCCCTTGAGAAAAACAATTCAAGGACAGCAGTAAGAATAAAAAGCAACGTACAAAAACCACTCACTATTCATGCACTATAGCTTAAAAAACACTGTGGTTTGAAACTGACCAATGTTGTCCATAAATAAGGCAAAGAGCACAATACTCAGTAAGTCTTGAGGAGACTGTTAACCCCACGGGGATCACACAAGTCTCAGGAGACTGATAAAGGAGGCTAAGAGTATTAAAGGAGTTGGGCCCACCTCAATAGAGGTGAGTCAGCCAAAGACACAAGTGACAGCACTGTCGTTGCTGCTGGCCATCAAGTTGGAACTAACTCATGGCCAACCTTCCAGAGTGTTTTCAGAAGCTGTAAATGGGAAGAGACTGCCCATCTTTCTCCTGAAGAGCAGCTGGTGAGTTAAAACACCTGCCTTTGGACTAGCAGCCAACTCCCTACCCACTAGGCCATCAGCGCTCCCTCAGATGATTTCTTCTTCCTGGTTCATGTGGAAAGAAGTGTAAGGAAGAAGCAAGACTGGACAATTGTGAGGCTCATGGTGATAAGTTATTCTGGGAAGCAGAATCCCGGACTGTGGCTGACTGGGGCTGCAGGTAGCAGAGAATGGAAAGGACATGGGGCCTCCTTTTTGGGTGATGAAAATGTTTTGAAACTAGGTAAGAGTCATGATTGCATAACATTGTGAAGGTGTGAAATGCCACTGAATTATATGGTGTATATTGGTTAAAATCATGCAATGCCTAACAGCTAAATTCATGCTACATGGGCGTTACCACTGTAAAAACCAACAACTAGTCGAGGCCTAGGTAACAACAGAAGCCCAAACCAGAAATTGACACATGGAGAAAGGAAAAGGTAAGAAGAAGCCAAAGATTTTTGAAAAGTCTTTGCTGTTCATCAATTATATGAAATATATTTAATAGGTTTAAATACTGTATCACTTTAGCATTTGGATACTTAAAACAAGTCCCTGAACAGATGGTACTTAGGAAAAAACAAAAAGGGCAAAGAAGGAAAAAGAGAATAAAAAATGAGAAACACACGCTAAGGAGATAAAGAAATGGTGAGGGGTCTCTTTAAGAAGCTCCTTGGAGATACATAACTGTAGAAAGCCTGGTGAATACAACATTGATTGGGAATGAGGTAACCACAAACACCACTGTCTCAAATGAAAAGGGATTCAAGATCTGACCCAGAAAACAAGCATCGTAACCACCACATAAAATTTTAATGATAAACACAAAATGCTCTACATACCAGCAAGATTGAAGTAGCTGATGCTAGGCCATAAACGCAAGGTTCTCTTAGAAAGAAAAGCCGTGAGGAGCCTCTCTGACCCAGAGATCGAGTTTCATGATATCGATCCACAAAACCCTGCCATCGCTTTGCTTTATGCTGCCACAGTGACCACTGAGCAGACCTCGAGGGAACAGAGACAGGGAAAGAGGGCCTGGCAATGGGGTCCACATCAACAAAGCCTTAACTGCTTTTGAGGTGAGAGCCCCCTTCATTTCTGAGTCTTGCACTGTTCTTTTGGTCCAGGCTCAATATTCTAGACTCAAGTGCTCTTAAGCAGAGATTCCTTGACACTGGGACTCATGTAAATGCCATCTGGAGTTACCACAGACTCAGAATCACTAGGCAGGAAAGAACCCCACAGGTCATGCGCTCTCAGGCCGACACTTTTATCATTTTACCAGTGTTACTCTGGTAACTGTTGCTGTGGAGTGCTGTCCAGCTGATTCTGCTTTGCAGAGACCTCATGTGACCTTCCCATACAGGATCCAGGATAAACGTAGAAAAGATCCAAGTGGCCAGGGATTTCATTTAACTTGGATTCACAACCAATATCCATGGAACCAACAGTCAAGAAATCAAACTAGTTTTGCATCGGGTAAATCTGCAGGCAATGACTGCTTTCAAACACTAAAGAACAAGAGTATCAGTTTATTTTTTAGTGGCCTTTTCTCATCCTCTACTTTACTATAGGTTTACAAATCATGTACGTTTTCCATACAATCATTCATATATATTTTGTTTTATAATATTAATAACTCATACAACGTCTAACCAAGCCCTCAGGGAGCTCTGGTGGCCTAGTGGGTAAGGGGTTGTGCTGTCAACCCAAAGGCAGGCAATACAAATCCACCAGCTGTTCTGTAGTAGAAAAATGAGCAATCTCCCCTCCTGTGCGATGTAGAGTCTCTGAAATCTGCTGGAGGGTTAGCTAGGAATTGGTTCTGACTCAACAGCAATGAGTTGGGATGCATCAATCTCTTATTGGATATTGTCTTTCTAATGACTAATGATATTAGATCCAAATTAGGATATTTTCAGTTGTTTCATATACAAGTCAAAGTTGAGCAAAATCAAGTTAACTACTGATGTTTTTGAATTGTGATGATGGTGAAGAGATAGAAGTATGCTAGAGACTGTCAAAAGAACAAATTTGTCTTGAAAGAAGTGAGCCAGGGTGGGCCTTAGAAGCAAGCATTATGAGACTCATAACTTTGAGAACATCAGACTTGGAAAAGTGGAGGGTCGCCAAAAGAGAGGAAGCCCCTTAATGAAATGGATGAACATAACAGCTACAGCAAAGGGCTTGGACATAGCACCTAACAACAATGAAAATTCTTTTTTTAAAAAAATTTTTTTTTTATGAAAATTCTTAAAGGAGCAGACTGTCAGGTCTTTCTCAGACAGAGCCAGTGAGTGAATATGAATAGCAAACTCTTCCATTAGCAGCTAAGCACTTAACCAATATAAAACCAAGACTCCTTCACTGACAATAAGAGGGACAAAACACCAGATTTCTGTTGGCCTAGTTGTAAGGAGCTGCACTCCCAACCAAAGTGTGTATAGTTCAAATCATCAGCTTCTCCTTGGAATAAAGATGGGCAATCTCTTCCTACACAATTTACAGTCTCTGAAAACTCACTGGCGGGTAGGCTATGAGTCACTTCCAACTTGACAGCACATAATAACAATCTATCTGGTAATGATAATCCCAAGAAGTCATTAGCCTCTAAATTTTGGCCAGCAAATGGAAATTCAAGAAAAATGTTTCTCCTGGACATAACACGTTTAAAATAAACATTCCTTTTCATAGACCCCCACATACTACAAACTATAATCTGTCCGGAATCTCAACTCCAAGGCTGCTCCTTAAGGAATGCCTCCTAAGGCAAGATTCTTCTCTACAGAGTCTCCTGTTACCCCACATCTTAAGTCTAAGGCTGACTTTGTTACTACTGGTGGGAACTTCTCTTATGTGGCTCATTCCAAAACCAATCCTGACTCCAAAGCTTCAATATTCTGGTCTCTGTTTGTGGCAGTAAGTGTTTAACCTGAGACTGCAGTTCAAGATAACCTTTCTAATCTAAAAAAAAATTTATCTTCTCATTGTCCATTAGAGAAAGACACAAACACATCTCTATAGTAAAATATGAAGAATTCATAAAAGTGTTTTTTAGAACAGAAGCCAAAAGGATTTACAGAGACTAAAATCAAATTTCTTAGCCATGGAGACACATAAACCATCTATTTCAGGAGAACTCACACAGTAAATATGTGGTGGGAAAGGAAGACTGTGTGTGGCCACAGCCATTCCTCATAATAAAGGCTTCAAAACAGAAATAAGTACAGACCCACTTTGTGCCAACACTTATTATTCTTGCTTGACTTTTTTATGTCTTCATAAAATGCAAACTGCTTACCTTAATGAAAATCTAACATTACCTGCCTCAAGTGTGATTTAAACGGAAAGACATATTGAGATAAATGGATTAGAGATTTGCTCAGCACCACCTGCTGCTTGCTGCTATCTTCAGAGCCCTCCGATCTCAACTACAGGAGAAGAGAATCACAGAGCTTTTTTCCATCTCACACATATGGGCTGTGGCTGAGATAACTGCAAGTTCTAAAGGGAAGATAAGGTCACTGGCAGTCAGCAGGCCATGAAAAATGAAAGATCTTAGATGAAGGGTATTACATTTAAAAAAAAAAAGGTTTGTTTTTGCTTACCCAGCAATGACCACTCCATCATGAGAATGCACGTCACACAGAACTGCGTCGGGAATGTGCTCCAGCTCACTGACGGCACCTTTGCGATTCTGCAGAAGGACAGAGGGAGGTGCACGTTATACTGTTCGTGGGGCAGCCGGACAGAATGCATTCAGCTTCCAGCTATGTTTCACAGCGATCTTCAGTGCACAGGCTGCATTCAAAGTCTTTTCAGAATCAGAACAGAAGAAGACAACAACACATAGATGAAGTGGTAGAGCGTTTGTTAGTATCATGTTCATGAACGGCAGTGAACTCTGCGGGGGTGGGGGTGATGAGTGAGATGCAGCCCATCCGACAGACCGACAGACCGCAGGACACAGAAGACATGTGCACAACACACCAGCCTGACAAGAACCTCCTGAGAGTGGCAAGAACTGGACTCACCAGAGTTACAACAACTGCACAAAGACCCCTTGGTTTTATCTGCTTTTGTTTCTTTGTACTACAATGTGACAACATACCAACTGCTGATGCTGGTATTCTCAGATGTTCAATGCAGATGTTTATCTGTAATGTTTCAAAACTCCAGGGTCAAGTAAAGATCAGATCTGAGAAGATATTGACAATAAAGGGCAATTAATAATAAAAACCAAACACAACCCCAAGAAAGGTATTCAATTTCTCTCAGGACTGACTGACAACTAAGTAACAGGAATAAGACTGTGCTGGAAGTTAAAGACTACTTGAATATAAAGTGTAGAAATAAAGTTCAGAGAAGAAAAACTATGGAGTGCTATCTTAAACCTTTACAAGATCCATTAGAATAAAAGAGCTATATGTATAAAGATATACACACACAAGTTATGATCACAGAAAAGAGGACAAATTCTTTCTGATTGAGAGGTTTATTGTTTCCTGGGAAGAGTATTTAAAAGAAACCCAAAAAGTCGCTAATACTAGTTCTTCCTCCTCAGGTGGGAAATTAGATTATAGAAGGAAAAGGTAAAAAGGAGATGTCTTTTTCATTGTATAATCTCTTATGAATTTTCACCTAATATACTATGATACTTTTCATTGGTTCTCATTTTTCACTGATTCAAATATGCATGTGCATCAGCAGTCAACACAAGGGCAGGATCTGACTGGAACCAATCATTACTCGTATGTAAATTTAAACTGACGTTGAACAGAATTCAAACAAATCCATGTGAACTAAAATAGGACCCTGAGTCAATCTCCCCCGAATTTATAAATTACCTCAAGAACAGATTTCATGCAGTGAACACTAATGTCCAAAGACCAGACAAGTTGTGAAATGACATCAAGGACATCATCCATGCAGAAACCAAAAGGTAATTATAAACACAGAGAAGACAGAAAAGACCAAAATAGATGTCAGAAAGACTCTGAAAACTGCACTAGAACATGCAGAAGCCAAAACAAAGGAGAGAAACGTTAAAGCAAGATAACTAAACAAAGGATTTCAAAGGACAGCTCAAGAAGAACAAGCTCAATATTGCAAACAAAGGTGCAAAGAGCTGGAGTTAGAAAACAAAAAGTGAATAGTCTACGTGTTTCCTACTACCAAAGGGGCCCTTTAGAGTAGTGAGAGAAGATCTTCACCGTGAAACCCACAGCGTCCCTTTTCAGCAGGAAGTAGCTAAGAGAATACGCCATCCCCTTTTCCTTATGAATCAGGGTGAAGTCTCTCTCAGGGAGGAGTTATAGGGAATGGCAAAGGACACACTGACAAAGGAGATTAATCAGAACTGGCTTTGACAAGTACTGTGGCAATTGGACAATTAAAACAGACATTCGGAGGCAGGGGAAGAAGAACGAACTGGGGAGGAGGGTAGAAAGAACGGTGCAGCAATGAAGGAATGAAAACCCAAAATCCCTGTAAATGTTCATTAAAACTAATAAAATTTAATAATAAAAAGATAAAAAAAGAAAATAAAAAGTGAAGCACATACTCAGCATCATTCAAGCTGAAAGAACTAAAGAACAAATTCAAGCCTTGAGTTGTAACATTGAAGACAAAATCTTAAATGATGCAGGAAACCTCAAAAGATAGAAGAATTATGTCACTGTACTAAAAATAACTGGCCAGCTCTGAAACGTCTCAGGAAGTACTTTACGATCAAGAACTAATCAAAATGAAGGAAGAAGTTCAAGATATATGGAAAGCCCCAGGAGTTGAAGAAACACTGATCAACATGTTTCAACAAACAGAAGCAGCCCTGGACTAGCCTACACCAAGAAATATGGAAAACTTGCTTTAATCCTCAATTTCCAGGACTTGTTATTCCCATGTCAACTCTGATGATTTTTAACCAGGAGAGTTTTACCATATTGTCCCCAAAAAGGGAAAAAAGTTAAATTCCAGCAAATCACTTAATACTATCTTATAACAACAATACAACGACATCTTAGTTAATTTGACAGTTAACTCATTTTTTTTTAATTTTACTAGGAAAAACATGTTGGGGATACAAGGAGGTGAGGGTTGGGAGCAGAAGGGCGAGGATGGGCAGGGATGAAAATTGCAGGGATGCAGCTGCAGAGCTGCACAATTGGTTGGTGGGGAGAGCAGGTGAAGGAAATGAAAATGATCCAGTGGGGACCAGATGATACAGGGCAATGGTAAGCATGGTCCAATGGTGATTAAACAAACTGTCTTATTGACTTGTGGGTTTCTCATTTGGGAACTGGGCACAGACTCTCTGGCTTCTTCATGCTGAACAACGGCATAGATGTGAAAGGGGGAAAAGGAGCACACTTTATCACCTTACTGGTGGTCTTGGGTTAAAGCTGCTTGCCTTTAACTCATTCTTTAAATGTGAGTTTACTTGGCTTGCGTTGTACCTGAAACTCTCCTAACAACATTTCCACTAGGAGAATTTCGGATGGAGACCCTGGACACCACGCAGAAATCATTGCAGAAAATTATGTACCACCTTCCCATCAAAAGAGCACATTCAACACTGATGTGAAGCATGTAAACGCTATAAAAACTGTTGATTGATTTCCTGTAGATGGTGAAACACAGTCAGGTTTCATTTCCATGACTATATCAAAACTAAAGAGCAGACCGTGAAGAGAAATTATTAAAGTCTGCGTGCATATTTCTACGTCAAGATCTCCACCTGAAATCAGTGATGTCTCAGTTCTGAAAACAAATAGCTTGTTTGTTAAAAATTTCAAAATCATTTAAAAAAAAAAGTGGAAAACTGCTACCTGATCTTATTTGTTCCCATCTCCCCAATAAAAGTGACCCAACAGAGGGTAGAAATTATCGAATAGTATCATTATTATCACATGTAAGTAAAATCTTGCTGAATATTATTTTTTAAATGGCTGGAATAGCACACAGACAGGGTACCTTTCTAGAAATTCAAGCATGATTCAGTAGAGGCTATGGAATGAGAAATATCACTGCTGATGTCAGATGAATCTTGACTATATGCAGAAAATGCTAGAAAGATGTTTACTTGTGTTTTATTGATTATTCAAAATTATTTGACTACTTGGAGATCATAACAAATTATAGGTAACATTGGAAAAAATGGAAATCTCAAAACACTCAAGTTGTGCTCATTAGAAATTTATACATTATTAAGCAACTGGTCTAAACGGAACAAAGGAATGGTTTAAAATCAGAAATAGTGTGTGTCAGAGTTGTATCCTTTCTCCATACCTATTCAATCTATATGTGGTACAAATAATTTGAGATGCTGGACTACATGAAGCATGTGGCATCAGTAATGGAAGATGATTCATCAACAACCTGTGTTATAAACATGATACAACCTTGAAGAAGACTTGAAGCACTTACTGAAGAAAACCAGGAACTATAAATTTTAACAGGCAATAACATTATGAAGAAAAGACTGAAGCAACAATTTCACTTTATCTGGATCCATAACCAACACCTAAGGTAGCAGCAACCAAGAAATCAAGACTTGTAACTGCAGTCCAGGATCTCTTTATAGAGCAATGCTGTCAACTGAAAGACTAAGGTGTGCCTGATCAAAACCACTGTATTCTCAATTACTTTCTATACTCTCGGTATCTTTGAATTGTGGTGTTAGTTTAGAATACTGAAAACACTATGGACTGTCAAAAAAATAATCTATCATAGAGGATGTGCAACCATGGTGTTTCTTAGAAGCAAAGATAGTGAAATTTAATTTCACAATCTCAGAGCACACTGTCAGGGGTCACTAGTCGTTGGAAACAGATATATTGGGAAAGGCAGAGGGTGAGAGAAAGAGAGGAAGACTCAATAGATGAATTGACAGAGTGACCACAACAATGGGCCTGAGCAGAGTGGAGACTGAGGAAGGTGCAGGATAGGATACAGATACCACTGACAGTCCACAAGGTTGTTCTGAATCCTACTCAATTCGATAGTACTTAACAACCTAACAGTATAAATATAAAAATTATTTTATATAAATATTTTTAGGCATTAGGTAGGGTAGCAAGTGCTGGGCTCAGCTGCCCAAACCCACCAGCCACTCTGTAGAGAAAGATGTTAACAAGCTGCTTCTGCAAAGATTTCAGCCTGGAAACTCGATAGGGTACTTCTATCCTATAGGGTTGCTAGGAGTCAGAATTAATTCCTTAGCAGTAGGTTTATACAATTCTTCTTAAGATGAAAAGAAATCTTGTTGAAGATAAAGTTGTTACAAGTGGAAGATGGAGAAAAGAAAGAGAGTTCAAGTCAAAAAGCAAGGATGAATAAAGATATTCAAGAATACCAAGTAACCCATAATTTTCCCTTTGCAAGACTGGCACAGGACTACAAATAGTATGTGTGTAGGTGCCAAGCACAGTTATTAGCATACTAAATGTTCAATACATCTTAGCTGCTAGTATTATGATTACTGTATCATTATTTATTGTAACATAAGGAAGCCAAAAAAAAGTCTCACCATTGGACCAAGAGGTAACAACATGATACATGGAAAAAAGATTAAAGCTGTCAACAGTTTCATTTTACTTGGATCCACAATAACACATAGGAAAGTAGCAGTTAAGAAATCAAAAGAAGAAACTGGAGATACCTGCTGTCAAGGACCTCTTTAAAATTCTAAAGAGCAGGGATGTCGGTTTAAAGACTATAGTGTGTGTGGGGAAGAAGACTATGGTGCTCCTAATCCAATCCAGGCCATGGTATTTTCCTGTGGTAATTGCTTCCTATGCATCTAAAGGTTGGACAGTGAATAAGGATGACAGAAGAGGAATCAATGCCTTTGAACTGTGGTATTAGAGAAGAATACTGAACTGTCAAAAGAACATATAAATCTGCTTGAAGAAAGTACAACCAGAGTGTTTAGAGGCAAGGATGGTGAAATTTCATCTCACTTTGCCCATATTTTTAAGAAGAACCAGTCACTGGAGAGAGACAAAATGCTGGGAAAGAAAAAGAGAGGAAGACCCTCAACAAAATGGACTGATACAGTGACTACCCCAAAGAGCCAGAAAGAGATGGCACAAGATTAGGGCAAGGTTCAGATCTGTTGTTGATAGGGTCAAGTACAAGTTGTAGTCGACTTAATGACGTCTAACAGGAGGAAAAGGAGGAAGACATCTATTCCACTGAAAATCAACATTTATTAAGCAGCTGTGTCCCAGCACCACTGTGTATGATGATTTGATTATCTGCATCACGATCTTATTTAACCTGAGGGCCAAGTCTAAAGCAGATGGAGAAAATGAAACTTCCAAGTGGGGCTTTCCTGCTAGTAATGACATAAGGAGAGGTTAAGAATTTGAGGATCATCTGTGCGAGAGTCTCACTTAAAGTGACCAGAGCAGAACTTTCATGTGAGGGGAAGCCACTGAAAGAAAAGTGAACACCTAAGCTGGAAGCCTCTTTCCTAAGGCACTCACAATTTCTATCCTGTGGCTTCCGTATCCCTCAGGGACTCAATACCCACACTGGTATTCTAGCCCTAGAGTGATTCTACAGTATCAGAGGGGGAAAGTGTATGTAAACCATGTCTTGGCTGAATCTGAAATTCAAGTCCAGATGAGTTCAGGCATCAGTAGGTCATTCCTGGTGAGAAGGGTCTAGAAAATTCTGTGGTTCCTTCTAGAGTTTCTAGCGAGGAGATATCCACCAAATCACTTGCCCAACCCAATCTGAAGTGAGCAGCACTGCATCAACGGATCTGTGTGCAAAGCCATAGGAGCATCTATGGCCAATACTGAACTTAACCATGCTCAGTGGGAGATGTGTAAGGAGTACAGCGACCACGTTCATCCTCCCTACAAACCCGTGAACAGTGCTGCTTCTAGCCCTGCTATTCAGATGTGCAAACAGAGGCACACAAAGGTGGAGCAACCTGGCCCAACAATACTCTGTTCTTATAGGTCTTGCATTCTGAAATCACAGTATGAATCCCACTGCTATATTTAAGCAAAGAGTCATTAAAATGTTCACTTATGTAGTCCTCGTTATTAACAGTATTGGGAAACTGGGCCAAGATAAGACTTCAAATTGTTATCGTTGTTGTTGTTATGTGCCATCAAGTCACGTACAATTCATAGTGACCTGATGAACAAAAGATCTGAACCCTGTTCTATTCTGTGCCATCTTCATACTTTCTGACACACAAGAACCCGCTGCAGCAGTCACCATGTCAATCCACCTGGTTAAGGGTCTTCCTCCTCTTCACTGACCCTCCACCCTTCCCAGCATTATGTCCTCCTCCAAGGAATACCCCCCTCCTAGCAATATGCCAAAAGTACACTTCAAATAGAAGTTCTATATTCTGCACTTTGCAGTGTTAATCCAGTTCACTCCATCAACACCTTGGACTGAGCACCTACCAAACATATGGCTTTGTGCTTGTTAGAGGAAAACAAAAATAGGCATTTCGTTCACTTGTACATAACTTGTATCCTGTTAATCAGAGCCAAATTCTATCAGGTGGGTCTTTAAATATCTTCACTTCTGCTGCCTCCAAACCAAATGATGAGACTGACTGTGCCTGCCTCCCTCTCTTGTCTTATTCTCAAAGAGGAAATAAAAATTCACCTGCTATTTTCTCCATCTAAGTTAGGAGGGCAGGAGGACAATGACTATCTCTGACAGCTATACTCACAAAATCACCCTTAAACTACCACATAGTACTGGACTGAAAGGGTCCCACTCATGACAAACTGTCATGCTTAAACACCCACCTCTTTTCCATCCCTTGCCTTGGGTTAGAGTCTCTGCTTTCTGATCCCAGTTTGTCTGAATCAAGCAAATCTTCAGATCGTCATCCTTCCTCTACCTTGTGACTGTTACATTGGCCTAGGTAGGTCCCTAACAGATGCACTTATTAACCCACACTGACACTGTGGGGCTGGTATGTCTCTATTCAGTTGTGGTGTCTTAATGATCTAAGAAAGTTCTTAGAAAAATGGTCTGCAACAGGGAGCTATTTTGCTCTTGGGGGGGACACCTGGCAATGTGTGGAAACATTTCTGGGGACTACAACTCAAAGGAGAGGGAGAATGCTAGTGCCACCTGATGAGTGCAGGCCAGAGATGTTGCTCAAATTAAAACAAACAGCATAGCTACCCTACCCCCACCAACAAGGTAATCTGGCTCAAAATGTCTGTATGGCTGTGGCCAAGAAACCCAGAATTGGAGAAATTACTGTTCTTAGTTAGAAATTAGTCAAGTTGCCCAGATCAAGAATATCTGTCACTAATTGGGTTATCAGAGGATTAAGGACAGGCATGCTCATAGGCAATATGTCACCATCAGTAATGAGTATAAGCTTGTTAACCTCAAAGTCTATTAGGATTGACCTTTATAGGACAAGAATGAGAGGACTGTCCCATTCCTTCCAGAAAACCTAACACCCAGGTGGAAAAGAAACACTGCCACTATTCTGGTATCTTGTCATGCCTCAAACAGCTTTATGTAACACTGTTCTTGTCAGTTATTTCCTATAGAAACACTTCACTGTGCAGATCCCGAGTTGTGATCTAATATTTCTGTAGAGATTTTGAAGTGATAAATGTTATGGAAGCAAGCCAATAGGTTATGTGAGGGGAAGACAACAGTACTTAGAGACATTTAATAATCTTTCTCTTCTTACATTTACTGGAATGAACATGTTTCAACTCCTCTTTTTGAAGTAACTTGGTAATTGGCATTCTTTGTCCATCTAAGGGGTTGGAAAGTTAAAGAAAGGGGGCTGCACGAGAGAAAACGGGGCCTCAAAGATGCTAACCATCACAGGGCAATGGGCTGGCCACTCAATCTCCCCATTCCTCTCCTAGAAAATAAAAGGATGCTCTGAAATGGTGTGGTTAAAACAGGGCACATCTTCTACAGGAGAACAAAATGGGCATCAAATCGCCAACAGCTGAGGGGGATGTGTACCACGCTACCCAGCCTTCCCTTCTGGCAATTAAGCCCCGACTGCAATTCCAGGGCCTCAGTTTAATCCCCGGCTGGGACCCCCGTGCCCTTGCTGGCTCTTCTTCCACAGGTAATGATATTGGCCACTGCTTACCTTCCAGTTGGTTCTTAACATGTGTTCCTTGGCTCGGCACTCTTGGAAGACAAGCTTCCAGCAGGAATAATCAGAGATGCTGCTCTGGGGAAGGTGGCCTTCCTGCTGGCACAACCTGTACCACAGCACCTCATCTTCGGCAATCACCTTCCACGTCTTGCTCACCTAAAACAGCACAAGTGACACAAATGTCAAATTCTGCAATTAGAGGAGCCCCTTGCCATCCAAAAATCAATCAACACCTTTATTATTGCCCTGGGTTTATGGCAGTATAAAATGTCTCATTAACAAAACACTCTGAGGTGGAAAAAAATACAAGCAAATGTTTCCAGTTTTATCTTTCAAGATTTCAAAAGTGTTATACTACTATCTAATACTGCATTTTAGACGGCTTGATTAAATGATTATCTAACATATGAAAGACGAAAAAATACACACTTTATCACATCAATAGCTATACAATAATATGCAAATTTTCTGAACACGATTTCTTTACTTTTCACCAACAAGCATTTGGATTTTCATCTTACAGAATATTAGAGACTGATGGCCTATAAAATTAAAAAGATGCAACCAAATAATTGTAACTCGAGATTCTCTGGTCATGTTAGAAGCTCAAATTCTTATTGTAATCAAGAACTGAAATTCTAAGTAGAGATTTGTGTGTGTGTGTGTGTGTGTGTGTGTGTGTGTGTGTGTATTTTTCCCCAATAGAAAACCCAAGCTCTTAAGCAGGACTGTAAGATCTGATACAGAGAAATTAATGTTATGACTGAACTTAATGTCAAATCCCAACAATTTCCAGAGGAAATGGGCCGTTTTTAGCTCTTGGGGGTTTTTTCCCAACATAAAGGAGGTAGATGGATTTCATCACAGGATAATGTATGAAACTGGGCAGGATTAGCAGATCAACATTAAACTACAGTCTAATAATGCAGGATCAAATGCAAAAGGTTTGTTCCCAGTTTAAGGTTGCTACTTTGTCCAAATGAAGTAAGAGCAGGGACCAGCAATTTACAGTAACACATGTGCTGAAACACTCCTTCAAGGGCCACTCAAAACAGGAATCACATATGAGAGATCACAAGACAGAACAAACCAGAGCACACAGGACTGTGCCCAGGAGATGCTGAGAACACGAGTGGGCCTTGTGTTATGAAGCATCAGATGGTATCCCTTCTAGGAGGGCAGGGTACAGACTCCAAGAGTCTCCTCCCACATTAAATCACTGAGAATACTAACAAGAAATGGTCAATATCAACTTTTTTCCTAACTCTCTCAAAGTCTGCTATAACACTCCAGCAGCTTTTCCTTACGGGAAAAAAATTACCAATACAAAACACGCAAAAAAGGAAAATCTCAGTAAGAAGAGCAATATTACGTATCACTTGGCATTTTAACATTCTCTAATCCCATCTTCCTCTTCTTAGCTCCATAATAATTCTGAAAGCCAACAGCCTCCTAATTAGGGGAGCTCTGGTGGTGGAGTCTGCTGGGAGCCGCACTGCTAACCAAAAGGTGGTACCTCCCTGGCAGTTGGCATACACCAGCTGTTCAGCGGGTGGGCAAGAGAATGACAATCTTCTCTCATGTGATTTACAGCCTTGGAAAATCCACTGAAGGGGTCAGCTGAGTCGGTTCCAACTAGACCACAGTAAGTAACTGTGAAAACCAAGCAGACTAGCAATCACCAGAGGGGGCAGGTTCGCCCAGCTCCCAACAAACTGTCCCTGTTTCGCCTGCCTGGTAGCCTGTGGACAAGCTCCACTCTCAAGGTCAACGTGTATCTGACCTGAAACAGTGCTCCCTCCATTCACTCCCAGGTTATCTGAAGAAACAACCAGGACAATTGAGGAACATTGCGGGAGTCTGAGGTGACATGATCAGTTAGATTTAACAAGAGGTGGATCAAAAAGTTTACAAGAAAAAACTGGGAAAGAGGATTTCCACAGAGGACCTTGAAAAATCTGACCGAGTCAGATGGTCCTGTCAGTGCCGTTCTGCACATACATTAACAAGACCATATGTTCCCTCAGAGCACTGGCTTACTAGGGATGGGCAAACCAAAACTGGTTATCAAAAATGAGGATATTAAGACTCAGGCATGAAGTAGCTGCCTTATACACTTTCATGAGTAAGATGATTCTAAATGAGGGGGAAACCCACAATATACATGAACAAAAGGTAAATGAAATACCGTAAAAAATATAATGAACATGCATGAAACACCAATGCACATGAAAAAAAAATAATTTTTTTGATTCTTTTTATTATTATTAGTTGGTTTATTTTTCATTTCAATGAATATCTACAGAGATTTTGGAATTCCATTCATTCATTGTTGCACCCTTCTCCCCGCACAAACCCCTCCCACCACCTCCACCCCCGTTTGCTCCTCTCCTTGAAAAGCAAAAGAAAAACTCCCTCACTGGTACACAATCCCCCCGCACCTCCCCAAACCCCATCCCCTACCCCCAAATATAATCCACTTTGCAACCCTCATTGCATACTCCTACGATAAAAATAATGCCCTAAAATATAATTCTTTTAGACTATTCTCTCCCCCATAGACTTTAATGCCGTAAACATATTTCATCCAGTTTTTCTCAGTCTTACCCCCACCCCAATGCCAGCCTCATTCTACAACAGTGGCACCATATAGCATTTGTCCCTTTGTGACTGAGATACCTCACTCAGCATAATGTCCTCCAGGGTCACCCATTTTGAATAATATATGAGTTCCTTGTTTTTCAATGCAGCATAGTATTCCATTGTGCGAATATACCACAGCTTCTCTACCCATTCGTTTGTAGATGGGCATTTAGGTTGTTTCCAACTCCTTGCTATTGTAAACAAAGCCGCGATAAACATGGGTATACATATATCTACTTGGATGAATTGTTTCTTAGCTCTTTGGGGGTGGCATATCATCTCATTTTGGTAATTTTTTTTAAATTATTTTTTTTATGGTGAGACCATAATTTTAAAAAAATACCAAAATGAGATGATATGCCACCCCCAAAGAGCTAAGAAACAATTATGTCAGTTTAAAGATTTAAGGTGTACCTGATTCAAGCCATAGTCTTTTCAATTACTTGCTATGCAACTGAAAGTTGGACAAAGAGTAAGGATAACAGAAGAAAAATCAATGCCTTTGAGTGGTACTGGAGAAGGGTACTGAATATCCATGGAATGCCAAGAAAGCAAACAGATATGTCTTAGAGAAAGCGCAACCATCCTTAGAGGCGAGGATGGCGAACCTTAGTATCACATACTCTGGGCGTGTGGGAAAAGAAACCAGTCTTCGGAAAAAGCATCAGGCTTGGAAAGGAGAAGGGCCAGTGGAAGACAGGAAAGCACCTCAATGAGATGGACTGACAAAATGAACAGAACAATATGCTCAACTATATCACAGATGATGAGGATAGCACAGGAGAGGGCAAGGTTCCTAGGGTTGCCATGAGGCACCTAACAACAACAATGCAAGCTCAAGAAAAATCTGAAAAGGCCATTATCTTTCAACTCTGACCCTGAGCCTCTGCACAAGCAGGACGTGAAGGCTAAGGCAGAGCTAGGACCTGCCAGACCACTGACGTCACAGCCCACACAAAGACAGCCCCTCCGCAAAGGCTGGGCAACTGCCCGTACAAAGCATTTAAGGCCATTTCTGTTCACTCATTACTTGATGACTAAATTAACTGAACACTTCAGTAGGTGCTTTAACATGACCAAAGATATACACTATACATACCAGTCCAGAAAAGACAATAAACAGAGTACCAACAAAACAGAGGAAGGGGAGCAATCTGATTTCTTGAGTCACTCCATTATATTAGAAATAATTGTATGCAAACAAAATAGACCATTTAGATGAAAAGAACAAATTCCTAGAAAGGCTCAAAGTATCAAAACTGCCTCGGGGCAAGGGATACAGTATTGCAAAGGACATTTAACAAGTAAATAACAAGTAAAAAAGTGGAATTAGAAATCAAAAGTCCCACAAAGAAAAGCCCAAACCCAGATGGCTTCACTAGAGAATTCTACCAAATGTTTAAAGAACAATTCACACTAATCCTTTACAAACTGTTCCTAAAAATGTCAAAGAACTCATGAAGCTAGTATCACCCTAGTCGCAAAACCAGACGAAGACATCACAAAGAAAGGGAGGGGGGGGGACCAAAACTGATACAGACAGTACCTCTTATGAATACAGAAATAAAAATCTTCAGCAAAATAGCAGACAAAATCTAGTCTCTCTTTGTTTAAAAAAAATTATTTTGTATCCTGAAAGGGGGGATTTAGTCCAGGAAAATAACTTTGGTTTACCATACAAAACTCAATGTAATGTCGTTAGGTGCCACTGATAATAATACATCATATGAACAAAATAAAGGACAAAACCCACATGAAGTTCTCCTTTATGCAAAGTTAATTTACAAATTTTTAAAAAAATATTCAAACTGAAACTGCACATTACAAAAGAACTAACAGTAGTTTCTTTGCATGATGATTTTCCCAAGGAGACCTAATGTGATAGGACCACATATACATTTGATAACATTTTCAAGAGCCTATCTGCACGATCAGCTGCAGTATCAAGAAGCAGGGAGATGTAAAAGCAATCGGGTTACATTCATGGAAAGAACCCAAGATTCTTTAGCACTAACAGGTCTCCATTAACTAGCTGTGTTACTGTGAGAAAGTCACTAAGCTAGGTCCCTCTCTCCTCCTCTGTGGGATGGGAGGAGAGAGGAGCCAGGCTCTAAAATGTCCTCTACAGTACTAAAGTCTATCATGTTTCGAAGGACAGAGAGTCAGTGCAGGACAGGAAGACCCTGGATGAGCCAGATTGACAGAGTGTGGCAATGGGGGCAGATGTGTCAAAGACAATGAAATTGGCTCAAGAGAAGGCAGGGTTCAGAACTATTGTTCAGTTGTTATTGTTGTTATGTGCCATGGAGTCACTTGCGACTCATAGCGACCCTATGCAAAACAGCCCTAAACCCTGCTCTATCCTGTGCCAATCACACTGCCTCTGACACACTCATCCAAATTACCCCAGTCACTGAATCAATCCA